GTTCTTGAGAGGAAAGCTTCCTGTCCGAGCGTTACCAAGTAGAGAGTCCTCTGTTCTGGAGCCAGGAAGGTGAGTGGGTCGTCCTCTCCCTCCTCCTCTTCCTCTTCCTCTTCCCCCGGGGGCGGCTCCTCTACCTTGGGGGCGTGTCGGCCGCTACCGGTTGCCGGGGTGAGTGACTGCTTGGTGTTGGCGCTGTTGTTGTTGTCGATCTGGTGTTTGTTGTTGTTGCTGCTGCTATTGTTGTTGTCGTCGTCGTCATTGTAGCTGGTTGAGTCGCTGTCGTCGTCACTGAGAAGAGTTGGATTTTTTAAGTAAGTGTTTTGCGGCACTTGCAACACAATAAAGTCGTACGTGCCAAAGAGTAGAGGTGTTACAAGAGATTTTTTTTTAAAGGAGGGGAGATAAGGAAGATAGAAGAGAAGGTTTGTGGGTGGTTGGTGGGTTCTCTGGTGTGGTTTGCTCCTTCTTCCCTACCAAACAAGTATCGTCCTCCTTCTCTTTGTATGCTACTCGATCTCTAGTAACACTTCTGATCCTCGGCAATTATAGTATGACCTATTTGAGTCGCAAGTGACGTAAAACTCTTACTTAAACTAAAACCATAAATAACAAGGATTTGGCGTTGTTCCCTGTCAAACCTCACTTAATAGTAACAGCGTTGTTTAGTTTTAGTAAGTGTTTTACGGCACTTGCAACACAATAAGGTCATATGTATGTGTGTGTGTCAGATTCTCCACCATCCTCACTAACCAAGATTAGAGGTGTTACAAGAGAGTAACAAACATAAAAAAGGAGGAAGGATAAGGACAATAGATGTTTAATAGGAAAGAAGAAGCAAACCACACCAGACCACACTAGAGCACCCGCCAACCACCCACCAACAGTGTTGTGGAAACGAACATTAAACACGTACCATACCTTGCTACAAAACCATATTTTACAGTATTGTTGATTGTTGAAGTTACGTTCAAACACATAGACATGAGTATGTTCCTATTGATTAAACCGCTGATTACTTTACTGTTAGTCACTGCTTCCCGGTGCTGTTGAAACGGACGTTAGGTACGTACCATACCTTGCTACAAGACCACCTTCAAATAAGCTACACGTATTGTTGAAACTACGTTCATGCCCATACTATTGATTACTTTACTGTT